CCCACAGGACAAAAAGAGTTTTAAAAAACTATATTTAAATAAATAAAATAATATGCTGTAATTAGAGTAAATGTAAAGAACCTGATTGAAAAAGATGATAAACCGAAATCATATAATTCGTTACATGCCAGATGATTTCTTCGATGTGTCACTTTGGGCATGTGTGCCATAGGTTCACCACTTCTGATCTAAATAATTTATATTTAATTACAGATAAATATTAGATTTTTGTCTTTTAAGTCATTTGATGTAACCAATCTATGTTTTTAAAAACTGCACTTTTTAACACACATTATTTTGTTCTGTTAAACAAAGACACTATTTGTCAACCAGTTTTCCAGTTTAATTAATAAAACTAGCTGAGGTGGCTAAGTTAGGCAACAGTCTGCTGCTCTGGTGGATCCAAATTTGAGTCCAGATCAATCATCAGATTTTTTTATGAGTTCTGTCCTAGACATGATGAGCCCATCCCTCATCATCCAGCCATTCCCATTGTGTTGTGCCATAATACAATTGTGTTTCAAAAAGGATCATCCAATTTAAAAATATCATAACTATTCAGCTTTTAATCCATTTTGATCGAACAACATACCGTTAGAGAAAATTCTAGAGTGTTTGTGCAATTTCTTGGGAAAAGATATATGGTCTCTTTCTCTTCTTAGAGAACACTGTTACAAATATTACATATCTCAATATGCTTGAAAACTGGCTTTTCCCACAGTTAAAGACTATTTTGGATGACTTCATTTTCCAGCAGGATAGGGCATTGTGACACTGGAGCCTGGGAGTTTGGGAATTTTTGAATACACAGATTCCCCAATGATGAATCGGCCATATGGGACCTAATAATTCAGCTTTACGTAACTGGCCTTCTTGGTTGCCAGACCTCAATGCTTGTGATTTTTTCTTGTGGGGGTTTATAAAATACTCCATTCATGCACCTCCTCTTCCAGCTACAGTGGTCAAACTGCAAAACCACATAACAGCAGAGGTGGCAGCTGTGGATCCAGACATGCTTGTAAAAGTTTGGGATGAATTTCACTACTGTTTGGACATATGCCATGCATCCAAAAAAGGCATATTAAGCACCTATAATCTAGTATGTAAAAAAAAACTTTAAGATTAGCCATGTAATATAAAATGTATCTTAAGTGTGTATTGTCATTACTTTTCATAATATAATCATTTTATATTGGATGATTGTTTTTGAAACACCCTGTACATCTGGTAAAAGAAAAAATTCCCATAGTGCCCAAAAGGCAAAAAGAAAAAAAAAAACTAAAAAAGTTAATGTTAGAAATGTTTTGTTTTAAACATTTCAACAGTAAAGAAGTCATGTCTTTATAATTGGAATCAATTTTAATAAGCAAAATATTCAGTAAACATAATTATGTTATTTACAGTTTTTATAGCATTTTTACTGAGAAATATGCAATTAACTAATAATAAATTCATAATGATTACATTTTTTGAAGTGTCGAATTCATTAAATCTTCTAGAATTCTATACTTTAGCAAAATGTCAACATTCTATAGATTCACAAGCACATCAAAAGTTTGATTAATAATCCGAATATAAAAACTATATAAAATTGATAATATAATATATAACCTAGCACTGTGGAGTCAAAGTTGAGAGGAATTTCTGGCCAGAGGAGTTGGAGTTGGAAAAAATGTGTCGACTCCAACTCCAGCATTTTAAGTTTACTTTAGTTTTTTTATTTAAATGATTTATTATNTGGGAATGGTAATTTATGGTTTAGCCTAGTGACAAGTAAATTTGACTTACGTCGTTTTTCGACTTAAGTCGTTCTCCTAAAACCAATTACCGACATAAGGCGAGGTATACCTGTATACCACTTTTCTTATACTGTAATTCATAAAAGTTTAAAATGATAACATTCATTACAGAATGATTTTTTTTTGTTACGTTTAAAATTAAATAAAAATTTATATAAATATTTGTTTTTAAAAATGTAAACTTTCAAAAATAACATTAATAAAGTAATTGAAACACCATATTTACTTACATCTATGTCTAGCATATTGCTTACAATCAGTTGTAGCAAATTTTTGCGTTCTTCAGGTAAATACTCAGATATTTTCAATATATTTTCTACATAGCATAGGTGGATATAAGAACATTTCCTTATATATGGATAATTTGTTGCTAGCATTGACATTAGTACCTGTGGTGACCTAGAAATATTAATAATTATTAAAACAGAAATTTATTAAGTAACTGACTTTCTATAATAATATATTTAGCCCTATGCTTGGCAATCTTATTATCTTATTTTTATTTTTTCAGAAGGTGGACATGAGCTCTTCTTGAGAGGAGCCACTTTTATCAGATACTTGTTTTCTCTTTTTAGAATTTGAGTATCAATTGAATTTCAGCAGTACAGTAAACTCATGGTTTTACAACCTGATTAGTTCCTATAAAAACTATCATTAAGCGAGTCATTATAAATCAAACTGTAATGTCTGAAAGAATAAACTTTGGAATAACTAATGTACATAAAAGGGAAAAAATTATTTAAACATTGCATTTCATGCAATCATAATAGATAATTTATATCAGCTGTAAAAGCAATGATTGAAAAGTAAGTGGTCACAGAGCAGGATCTATGTAAATTATAGTATAAGTAAATTCCATTTTGAAAACTAAATCTTCAAGCTTAAATATATTCAATTATACTTACAAAGGGACAAGCTTGATGATTCTCTTTAGTAAGCTATGAAGCTTTTTAAATACTTCAGCATCTTCACTTGTGATGAAAGGTTTTTCAACTGCATTCTTGCCTTAAAATATATCAAAGATATTTGAATTTTATTTTATTTTTAAAATACATACATACATAACAAATAATGGCATAATAATAAATAGAAGATAATATAAATATCTTTAGCTTTTTCTCATTCGTCCTCTTCACACCACACAAATTTGTAAAATACACTCTAAAACCAATTTTACATATTGAAGAAGGAAAGAGTCTCAAGATTAAGGCAACTCCACTGTGCGATTTTCTACATTTTGTGTTCTAGAAAAAACACATGGAAACACACTATTTTTTATATTGCCATCCATTTGTGAAATATTTGAACAATTTTTGAATTTACTCACAAGAAAATGTTTCAAACTAAGCATTCCTGTAACTTAGTGAAAGATTTCATAATTAAAATTACTTAAAATTTTCATAATTTGGAAGAAACACTACCAATGTTTTATTTAAAGGATTCACAATATATTTTTTTGCATATAAGCTCTTGTTTAAGTATTCAAAACAAAAAAATATTTAAATTAAATGCAAGAACTTTAATTAATTTTAACAATACAATTTATTTACATAAAAAAATAATGAAAATTTTCTGATATTGCATAAAGTATACCAAATAACTACAAATCTAATCAGAGGCAACATTTAATGAAAGATGACAACATGATAAACAAAAATCTTTGACTAAGCAACTAAGACTAAAAACAAAAAGTTTTTAAACTTACTTATTAGTTATTGTAATGCATTGTTTGAACTGAATGAATTTAAAGTGTTGTTTAAAATTTTACTGTTAAGCTTACTACTTTGTTAAAAATCTGAAGACAACTTTTTTTTGTTAATGTTATAGTTTTTTCATTAAATATTATATCTGTAATAAGAACTGTGGTCATTCAGTGAAATTTATTTACAATTTAATAACAAACTAAGTACAATTTCACTAATACTTTTAAACAGATTATGAAAAGTTACTTGTGAAATGAGCAAACATTACACATCTTTACCACAACACTGGAGAATAGTAATATAACTCTTTCTAACCTGTTACCGGTGCATCTACAAACTCTTAACGATCCAAAATGAACTAAAACTAATGTTTTCGAACCCCTATAATGGTTCTTCTTCAGGCTTTTTCAAATCTCTGATAGAACATGCAGCTCATAAAAAACTTTAAATTCGAAATATGTAAGTTCGAATGCATGTTTCCCGTTTCCATTGTTGTATGTCATGCGCAGTCGACTCCAAAACAGGCTATCATAAATTACCATTCATAAACGCTAGCCACACTGTTGATAACCAATGCATCAATTATAAAGAAGAGATTACATTATCAACAGCATGGCTAGCGTTTATGAATGGTAATTTATGATAGCCCGTTTTGGAGTTGACTGCTCATGACATACAACGACGGAAACAGGAAACGTGCATTCGAACGTACATATTTTGAATTTAAAGTTTTTTACGAGCTGCATGTTCCATCAGAGATTCGAAAAAGCCTGAAGAAGAACCATTATAGGGGTTCGAAAACGTTAGTTTTGGTTCGTTTTGGATTGTTAAGAGTTACTTTAACTCTTAACAATCCAAATGCATCTACTGTTACCGGTGTAGACGCACCGGTAACAGGTTAGAAAGAGTTATATGAGCAAACATTATTCTGTCATCGTCACAATGCCAAGCTACAATTTTTAATTATATTTTTAATTTATTTCATTTAAAAGGTATGCTCTCCATCTTAAATTAGTAGAGTCTTTCCCCTTTACATCATACTTTTCCTGCTAGCAATAGAGTTGTTTCGTTCATCTATCTAACACCTTTCGGAGAAAAATGCTTGAATTGAAATAACGTGACCACCAGTGCAAACCGAAAGTTCATATATAGTTAATTGGGAGCTTTCCATATTTGGTCTTGTCTTTCATCTATCTAAACCCGTTCTCAAGATTAACCTATACCCTAGTATTCCCGACATATTTCAGGTTGTGACCTAATGACCTTGACCTGTAGACTAGAGATATCGTGTTTCAGCATCAGAACATTTTTGAAACTAGACATCACTACTCATTATAATTTTTATATTAAAACTAACTTTCGAAATATAATTTTTTTTGTTTTTACATTTATTAATATATTTTGTTTGTGCAAAATTAAAAAATAATTTCGGACGATATAACAGCTATGATTATTTTTTCAAAAACATGTATTTTTGTCAGGCTTAACATTGACAAAAATTCAACGTGGTGCGACATGCAATGAAGAAAACTTTCAACATGGGATAGGTTAAGGAAGGGAAGACAGTCAGACTAATAACAGTAAGAATTTATAGGTTACAATTTTTTCAAATTACATCCCAATTAATCCAAAAATTTCTTCTTGACAATTTAAATGATAACATTTTTATAAACTTTTATTATCTGATTTTAATCTGTGAAAAAAACTATTAACAATAAGATATATTTATTATTATTAACTCTGTGTTTTATTTTCATGTTAAATTTTTGTAATTTAACATGAAATTAAATTATGCAAATTTTTTACAATATAAAACAGAGTTCTGGAAGAAAAAGTTTTTCAAAGAAATTTTTATTTGTTTGTGCTCTAACAATAGAGAATGTATCAAGTATGTCCTTTGTAGTGATTAGCTGAAATTACTTATATTCAAAAAAATAAATAATTTTATATCCTCATAGTCACCTTAACAGTGAAAGACCTAAATACAATTATTAACTGTACAATTTTTTCCAATTCTTTTGCTTGTCTTTCCTCCCTACTTTCGTATTATATATCAAAATACATTATATGTAGTCAAATACAAATTATGAACAAACACTGAGTTATAATTTACAAAATTTTTCAAAAATATTCACATTTGTCACTATCTGAACTATTAATATTAAATTAATATATAAAAATGTCAACAGGACGGCTGAGGAGTTGGGGGATTTTTTCATGGGATCAGTCCTGGACTTGGTTTTTGTCCCTCACCACCAAGCCACTTCATTGTGGGACTGAAAAGGGGCCTTTAGTGCCCACAGGGCAGAAAGAGTAAAATAAATAATTATATATAAGAATAAATATTTACCTGCATAAAATTTTAAAACAATCATTCTTAAAACCGATGGCAAATAACACGTATGAGCAGAAACTAAATTCAAAATGACTTCTTCATACAATATTTGTATCTCTTCGTTTCTCTCAATCCAATTTACATTCTGAAAAATATTTTAGAAATAGTTTTAGAATTATTTTGATTAAACAGCTTAAACTGGTATTTAAATCATAATAAAACATCTTACAAAACCTGCACAATTTTAATAAGCAAACATTTTTGACCTATTTAAAAGATCATTGGGAAAATATTTCAAATCATCTACACACTTGTGTGTACTGTTTATTTTATTATAATTTGTTTTATGCAATAATTTGCCTCAACCTGGTTTAGTAAAGTGGTTATCTTGTAATCAATCAATGCCTACAAGCTTCAATTGGAACATTCCACAACTTAGCAAGATTCAAACTCTCGGTTTGAATGTATATTCTTTTCCATTGTGATTCAAAACATTTGCCTAATGAGCTATGTAAGGTGTATTGTTGCTTTATTATTATTTTATTTAGTTACTTTTTAAAAAAAAATTAGAAGCATTTAATTCTTCCATCTGGATTTACTTATTTAATATTTAATAGCATAATTACTTAAATTAAGGAGTGTTCGTAAATAAAAGTGTCACTTAAGAAAGCACAATATTAACAAAACTGGCTGATGCAAATCATGATAAAAGTTTTAAGTCTGCTTGTCAGAATATGCATGAACCTACAGATATTATTACTTTAGGTCAGAGAGAAGAGATAAGAACAAGCAAAATAAAAGAAATGAAACTCTTGCCATACTTATATGACATTATTACAAAAACATTTCGGAAAGATATCAAAAGAAGACTAGGCAACATTTTATGCTTGGAAATATCCAACAAACAAGTATCAATCGGATATTGGACAGGAAACCAAACAATTGCCATAATTAATTGGGCTAATTAAGTGCTATTATTAATGAATCTGTTATTAACAAATCTGTCCAATATATTTATATATATATTGGACAGATTTGAGAAATGTGGAACTGCATACTATCAAAAATCTAGTCAGCCTGCTAGCTTAATAACTACTAAAGTTACACAAGTAGTGGAATGCATACTCAAGCAGAATCCTGAGATATCATTGAGAACAGGGGCTGCAAAACTTGTCTTACAATAAGTGCCCTACATGATATAAAGATGAAGAAGTTAGACATCACTGCCCAGAAGAAGAAACTGGCTCCAAAGTACAATCAGGAGAAGGAACACAGAGCAAAAACCAATTGCCAGAAACATGTTGATGTTCAGCCATGTCAAAGGAGAGAAAGTATTGGCACTATAGTGTTGGTGTGATGGATGATTATTATGAATGAATGAATGAATGAATGAATGAATGAATGAATGCAGACATGTCTGAGTCTTTCCTTTCTTGTGGATCTATCATTGCAGATGTGTACCTCAAAGAATGTGTTAAAATGTACTTTATTCCCTTCATCCAAAACCACCATAACATGGAAGATGTAGTGTTCTGGCCAGATCTGACAATGGCCATTATTTATACAAAGTTACTAACTACCCTCAAAGTATTGGCTTGAGTTTGTAGCAAAAGAAAACAACATCCCCAATGTACTGTACCTCAGGCCTATCCTATTGAGAGATTTTGAACATTGTGTAAACAGTACTATGCCTCCCTTCTTGTGGTGCAAAGAACTTGAATTCATTCAAACAAATTTTAAAAAATATTGCTCAAAAAGTTGGGAAGAAATTTGGCATGGATCTCATGGCAAGAGAGGATTTCAAGTAAAATTGAGATATATAGGATGACAGTGTCTATGGACCATTACTTTGCAAGAAATAAATCTAAACTGTCTGGACTATCACACGAACAAAACTGATCTTTGTACCTTCACTTGTTCTAGTAAAACAATATCTAGTAATTAAAAGTGACACTTGCATTTCCGAACACTCCTTAAACTGATAAAACGAATAAGTTTACTGTTGCATTTTACTCTCAAAAATTTAATGTATAAAGTGTTATTTCTTTTAATTCCTTCATTAAAAAGCTTAATATCATCATCAATAACGACAACAACTGATTCATATATTATTAATAAATAATGATTAAAATATAAAAATATATTTTATTAATTAAACATTCATTTATAATGAACTTACCAGTAATGTTCCAACAAAATGCTCCTTTTCTTTATCGAGTAAGAAAATGTTGTCCCTTAAAAATGTGAGACATTTTACTACTTCACCTGCCTGTTAATTAAAAACAGAAATTATTAAATGAATTTGTTAATCTTCTAGTATTACCTTTATTACTTTCAATTAAATTAAATTTTTTAAATTTGCATCAGCAAATAGTTTTTGTATGTAATTCAAACATTATTACATATGATTCTTTCACATATATATATTCAAATTTTTATAATTTTTAAATAGAAAATTACATTAAATTTCACTTAAAAATTCAGTTAGCAAGTTCTTTGATACTAAAATTTCTAATTTTACATAAGAGATTTTATGGGTTTTTTTTTTTATCTGAGAGAGCTATAGTTCCACTTATAGTAATAATTTTAGTTTGATTAAATTTTACGATTTATCTAAACTTGATTCTGTAATAATATAATACTTCTATCATTAATGTAAAGCATCAAATACTGATTAATTAATTCAGGTAACATATTAAAGAATAAACATGATACATTCATTGCTGCAAATACTTCACATAATGCACCTCATTTTTGTGTTGTTTGCTCCTAAAGTTATACAATGTTTTTTCTTTTAGAATAAATTTAAAAGAATTTAATATATCTATGTAAGAGAGAGAACAAATTCACTGATAATTTAGCCAAATCAAATATTTATTGCAACTAATTTTTATTTTCATAGATTAAATTGAAAACAAACACAATAACAACTAATAAATTTATTATTTAAAGAATCTGTTTATTGTAATAACTTTGGGATTCACCTACACCAGGGGTCCCCAAAACAGTCGATATTGACCACTCGGGGATTTACAAGGCACTTTCACGAGTCAAAATTAGTCCAACAGGTTACGTATAACAGTTCAGGATGTTTTAAGTTTGTACACTGCAAATAGACCTTTTCTTATGAAAGTGGTGTGTGAATTATACTGGCTCATGGGGAATGTGAGCTGTTTGTCTAGCGTGCGAGTGAACTTTTGAGAGGAGTCGAGACTCAGTAAACTAGAGCATGAAAGCAACAATAAAGAAAGAAAAAATGACTTATGTAAAAATTTGCTAACAGGTTATCCTTGGATTTAATTATATTACTACTAATAATTGCTGGAGTTGAATCCAACCCAGGCCCTCTGCCCCATTCCCCACAATAATTAAGTCAATTGGAAATGCAAAAAAGGAGGCGTGGCAGACCTCGCAAGGTAAGCTCCAAGGATGAGGAGAAATAGAATCAACTAGAAGAAATTTTAAGTGAGGAATATTATCAAATAGATGGAAATAGTAAACAACTCTCTGAATCTACGAAGAGTCCAAAAATTTATGAGTACTTTGAACCAGTAAGTGAACCAGAATCACAGCTATTGACAAACCTCCATATACAGTAATACCCCGAACTTACGCGATAGGTGGGACTGAGCGGTAACCGCGTAAGTTGAATTCGCGTAAGTCGAGATATAATTTCACACATATATACATACAAATAATTTTTAATTGGGGCCGGAGACTAAAGAAAACAATAATTTAGAAAAAAATGTTTAATAAAATCTTAGATAATACATATGTATAACAAATTAGGCCTATATTATTTTACAATTTTTCACATTTACTTGATTATTACGCCATAATTTTAACATTGTTTCCATCTCTGCGATAATACTGCAACATTTATGAATGATGCTCGAATTTAAAGATTGAGCATTTTTTGCAGCTTTGAGAATTTTTTCTTTACCTTTTATAATTGTTCTAACCGTCGATTCCGGTAGATCAAACTTCTTTGCCAATTCACAAATTTTCATTTTTGTATCGAAGTCTTTAATAATGTTAACTTTACATTCCAAAGATAAAGATTTTCTTTTCTTGTTTGGTGCAGAAGAATCAGTTCTACTTCGTTTGGATGACATAGTAGAGTCTCTCGAGTCTCCGTAGATATAACAAACACAGAAATAAATAACACAAAATAAATTGTAGTTATGTGTGGATTCCACGCGACACATCCGAACATGTAAGCTGAACAATAGTGTGGGGGAAGTGAGTAATCAAGGATTGCGTGGCGCTCAAACAAAAGACGAATCGACGAGATTTGAAAATCACGTAACTCCGGGTAGCGTAAGTCGGGGTATTACTGTACATTAAAATCCATTTATGATCAAATTCAGGATAAATTTAGTCAGCTAAATATTAATATTCAATCTATTAAATCAGAAGTAAACATATTGAAAGAAGAGAACAAGAATTACAAAGAAGAAATGAAGGGAATCAATCAAAAGCTTCAAGAACTGGACAAAAAATCAAAAAATAGTAATCATCTTAAAGGTATGTTTGAATTTGAAATTGATAAACTTGTAAATGAGAAAACTAAAAAGAATATAATCATTATAAACTACCCATTTAAATCACTAGATTACTTACAAAAAATTAATCTATTCATAAATAATGATTTAAGATTAAAAAATAATGAAATAGAAGGATTAATCAAATTAAATAATAGAAAAAAATAAACCTATTGTCAAAATAATTCTTGAGTCTGTTAACGCAAGAAATAAGATTCTTAGAGAATTTTGGCAGTCAAAATCAAACTTAGTTGGCGAAGACAAGGAAAAAATAATATTTACAGCCGATCTATGCAGACGATCGAGGTTAAGAAGGAAATATCTACAGATTAGGATTAAACAGGAATAAAATAATAGTTAGAGATGATTATTATATAAAAGACAACTTAAGATATATGTATGATACTAATTCAGATAAGATTATTCAAATAGACCATTTTTTAGGAGTAGTTTGATCANCGATCGAGGTTAAGAAGGAAATATCTACAGATTAGGATTAAACAGGAATAAAATAATAGTTAGAGATGATTATTATATAAAAGACAACTTAAGATATATGTATGATACTAATTCAGATAAGATTATTCAAATAGACCATTTTTTAGGAGTAGTTTGATCACAGATTCAGAGGAGGAAGGGAAAAAAGACGGAATATACTTAATACTGAGACAACCCAAAATAACTTGAATTTTGTCCATTATTCCAAAATGAGTTCAGAGAATTGGGCTGATAAGGATAATAAGAATAATCTTACGTCTAAGAAATACCAACAAAGGCAGAGAGAATTTATTTATAAGTTTTTGGAACATTCAAGGACTTTGAGGAAAAATGTTCAGTGAGCCAGTAAAAAATCATATAAAATCTCATACTATAAGTGGCCTCATGGAAACCTGGATTGTTGAATTGAGTAAAAAAGACAAGATGTTTCTAGAACATGAAAATATAATGTTGTACAGCGGAGCTCAGAGAAAAAGTAGAATGGACCGTCCAGTGGGTGGTCTATTATTGTTAATCAAGAGGAACTTTGGAAAACTTTTTAAACACTGCATAACAGACAAATTTATTTTTGTGGTGATTGAGATGGAACATAGAATTAATGTATGTTTGGGAGAATTATATTTAGGAATTATATTTATCAATCTGTCCCCTTCTTCAGATAAAAAGTTGATATTAAATGAAGTCCAAAGAAACATCAATCAGAATTGATAATAATTAATAACAAAATTATCAAATTTTCTAAAAGTAATTGCCCAAGGTGTCAAAAAATAATTCCAAAATTCCATATGTGGCTATAAAGATGCAAAGGAGCTAGCACAGAGTCTTGAACTACACCTTTTACCTAAATATACTAACAAAAAAGCTATGTATGTAGTATTCCATACAGCCAAGATCGATACAATTTATAAACAATACAAATATGCTCACAAACTCATGTTGATGTAATAATTTTAATAACTAAACAATAATAGAAATTTAATTATATTGTACATGTGTAAAGTAAAAATGCTTTCATTTGTAGCACAAATTGATCCTCTCTAAAGTGTATTTACCAAGTTGTACTATAAACTTATCAGACCATGTGATAGAGATCCTGGTTTAACTTGGGTTGATGAAGATGTATATTTTTGCGATAGTACGATTTGATTGATTGATTGATATACTGACTCATTAGATTTATTATTATTATACCTGTATTAGCAAAAAAAAAGGAGGCGTCAATAAAAGGTTGAGGAATCCTTGAAAGGATTAAAAAAGTTGGGGACCCAACTTAACAATTGACTGATAGCATTATGCTAAGCAAGTATGATTAATTAAGTAAGATTAATTAGTGGTTATGCTGATTTTATTACCCTTATAATGTCACAGTTTATCTGATATGCCATTTTCAACATTAAAAAAGTACATTAAAACAATTAAAAAACCATATAATTAATTAAATAACTTAAGAAGATTTATTAATTATTTTTATTAATTAATAGCAATTCATTCATATTATAATTGAAGTAATAAATGCAAGAAAGTTAGACTATTGAATTGTAAGTAAACAATAATTAAAATGATTTACATTTAAACACTTAGAGCACTGGTTAATTAATAATAATTGTGCATTTTTATTCATGCATTGAAGCTGACAGCATAAAAAATAAATGCCTCTATCTGAAAATGATAACTATAACTGAAATTCTGATTATGTGACATTTATAAGAATATTTTAATCTTATATGTTTTGGGACACACTAATTCTGATAACATTAGATAATTCATGATAACATCAGTGATTACAATAAGGTTCAATTGTATTTACAAAGAATAAAGATTTAATTAACTGAAAATACTTAGAACTGTAGTAAGAATCATGTTAAAATTAAAGATTTTTACACGAGTTTTATTACAATTTGATAAATAGATATATTTCTAAATTACCTTTGTTTCAAAATTAAGAAGCATAGTGCACAATTCTTTGTACTTCAATCTCTGTTCCGATGCATTGTTCAAAATCTCGGAAAAATCCATTACTTGCAAATTCGCAGGTGACATGACCGTTAATTCAAATCTTTAACTCTTTCCAGTTAATGTTAATATAGAATTTTCTATAATAATATAATAATTTTTATAGTACAATATAAGTCTATTTATTTAAATTTTTATTTTAGAAAAAAAATCACTTGTTTTGTAATATAATTTTAAAAATACATTGTGTTAAAAATAGTAAACTGTTGAACCTGTTGCCAAGAGAGACTGGACCCAGTCCAGCAGTCACCAGTGACTTCTGGACTGGGCCCGGGCCCAAGTTTATTTTGTTTAAAGTTTCTTGAAGTTTGTAACAAACACAGCAATTACATATTTATGAACTTTTAGAGTCTCTTTAGGTCCCTGTTACTCCCTCTTGGAAGCCCTGATTTAATTACAAGGTAAATATTTTCTTAATTAAAATAGACTCTATAACAATTTTATTTATAACTTTAAAATTCTCGGAATCAAATGTTTTAAGTAATTTTAATCAATTTGTTACGTAATGCAAAGAAAGAAATGGAAATCTTTTAGAATACCTTAATATTTAGATGTGAAAAAGAATCCAATGTTAAATAAGTTTGCATAGGTTTTCTGCATACTGCAAGAGAGTTAATTTAAATCTTTTGAAAAATTAGCATTTTTATTTGTAGAGTAACTATTCATAAGTTTTTTTATGTTATTTTTTAGCTTATTTTATTAACAAATTAAATACAAAGAAATTATCAAATATTATAGAGAAGTCAATTCTATTGAAAACAATAAACGCCAAATTTTCATAATTAGATGACGTTGAACTTATAAAAACTCAACACAATTTCGGCAAATTATTATTAAAAATAAGACAAAATTCAGAATAGTTTACATATAAGTAGTCAGTAAAAAATAAAAATTGATTGCTGAGGTAATAAAACTGTCAGCTTGTCACTCTGACACTTGTATTCCAATCTGGGTCATAAACCTCTGTAATTTCCACAGATGATCTGTTTCTGTCCACTATCATTGGGTGCACATTTAATGGGCCTGGCCAAAACCACGACAGATATGATTAAAAGGGCAGAGAGTAAGAAAAAAATTTGGCAAACAATTTTTATGTAATTAATTTCTAAAATTGAAAACAAATACACAAAATAACACCTAATTAACTGAAATTTAGACACTTAAACTTGATATAACTTTTTCTAAAAACATATGATGGTGCTGCTTAAAACTATAAAGTCATAGAAATGAATGTTCAGCTTTTTGGCAAGTTTTCCTTACTTCTTAATAATGAGTTCAAATACTACATACTCAGTAATCAAAAACTAACACAATAATTCTCAAAAATTCAGCAAACATTTTCTGTCTTAAATTGACATCTTCAAACTATGTTGTTTAAGCAATTCCAAGATGGAACAACATAGCCCGAAGATGTCCATTTAAGATGGAAGAAAGTGTTTGCTGAATTTTTGTGAGTTATTTTGCAGAGTTTTGGTTACCGAGAGTATGGTATTTGTATTTGTAGCCAGAACTTGACAGTTATCATTTGATTATTAAGTTACTAATTGTTGATAAATTTTCATAAGTTTGAAATCATTATAGCAATTTGGTCATTTAGTTCTTAAGATATAAACTGTAATTCTTTTTTTAAATTGCTACTTTTTGATCAATAGATTGAACTTCTAAATTTTGCATATTACAATGAATAAAAACAGTTTTGTTACTCAAACTGCAAGTTTTCTGTAAGTGAGATGCCATTTGGATGTGTTGCAACTGAAATAATACTTTGATCATAAAATTACCTCTCTCCTTTCTTTCTCATATCTGAAATATAGTAATCTAATAAACAGTATTTATAAAAACACTGTTTTATAAATCAAATTAACTAAAAATGTATTTATAGTCACACAAAGAGAATACTTACGATCTTAAAAACAAAATCAAAACAAATGCAATTAGTATCGATTGGTTGCACTATCAAGTATAATTTCATATAATGTATTCGTACGAGTGCGACTAGTAAACGACCGATTTTAGACTTTATAAATACGTAATTTTATCATCATTGGTTTGTATAGGGTATAAACTGCAAACCGGCCATTTTGAGTCGTCTTTATACAGGATGATTTTAGACTGGTCTTACTGTAATAAATAAAATAAATAATTTTTAACTAGCCAGAGAAAACATTTGGCTGGTCGATAGCTACGTTAAAACTGAATTAGGAGACAGTCATTTATATCAAAATAGATTTTACACGGTGTTCTTTCAATTTTTACCATAAAATGCAAAAGAACATCTTTTACTACCTGGCCCGAACAACCCATTATCGAGTATGATTTTAGAAAAAAGGCCCTTGTTGTCAACAAAGCAGAAAAAGTAAATAAAGAAAAGCTAGACTACATTAACCATTAACCTGTTAAGAATGAGAAGTCATAGTTCAAACCATTCATAAGGATAATATCGTCTCCTAAACTGGTGTTTTGTGTTCTACGATAACAATTTAACCTCTTTCAGCAGAAATATCACGAGGAATACTACTACAAATGATAAATATCATTTGTAGTATTGTACCTATTCCTCATATTTTTCATTTGAGAAATAATCATTAACATTTCTGGAGTGTTTTCAAGATTAAAAAATATACAAAAATACATACACTGTACATTCTTTTTCTAAATAATTCGTACCAGCTGAAATTAGAAATATAAAATGATTATATATAATAATGATATAAGCTTACCTCAATTTGTATACTTAATTCAATAATACGTATTGTTACATTTGTTATTTTTAAGTAATTAAATGAATGAGAAATTACGTTGAACAAATCATCCACATGTTGCACCACGTAGATGTCACTTCGCACGAAGCGCCCTCTTTGAGGAAATATCAAATATATAAAATTGTATATACTGTATAATTATATATATTTGTTATTTTCATACTTTTTGTTATATTAATATTTTTAAAAATTATTCAATTATTTTTATTAAAAATTTTACAGAATTAGTATGTCGGTCTAATTTTTGTTTTCTAAACAGTAAGATTTGAATCTGTTTCTACGAGTATCTGGCACACAATGGGTTCGTATTGATTTTCAGTTTAACCTATGTTAGGCTAGCTTATAAAAAAGCGATTTTCCGACTCGAGATCAGATTTGATTCCGGTTTCCTTTAGCTGTAAGCATACGATTTATCTGGTGCTGACGCGTTAAGATTGCCGGCCGTGTGGCCGAAGCGGTTAAGTCGCCGTTCTGGAGAACCCGGGTCAGCAAAAAATTCTCGGATATATCGAGCACGTCTCATCACCCGGCCAAATCCACCCACGGCCCTGTTAAAAAGGCCAACACAGAAGAGAGTAATATTAAATTTTAATATATTATCTTAATGTCCACAGGATGGAAAGAGGAAAAAATATTGAGAGGTTATTTTTTCCAGAACCGTTGCGGGTTCGGCCAAGCCGACAACAGGAATGACTTTACGGAGAATAGTCCGCCCATAAGGAAAACACTCGAATCTCGATCCTCCAGAGCAGTGTTTTTCAACCTGTGGGTCGCGACCCCCAGGTGGGCCGCAAAGCCATGCACGGGGGGTCGCGAGTAAAAGGAAAAAGACAAGTGTTTGCAGGTCCTACACTACAATAAAAACATTACAATTTCAGTGAGAAGGCTGTGCCTGTTTATTTAACAGTACAATTAGTTTTTTTTATCGATATTTAAATCTCAACAGAAAGAAAATTAAATACGTAGTTTTTAAAATCACTGACATAGTTTTAATATGGCCGTGGGGGTCGCCAAAATTTTTTAACTTGTAAAGGGGTCGCGTATTCAAGAAGGTTGAAAAACACTGCTCCAGAGAGAAAGAACGGCGGCTTCCTCGGCCATTCGGCTGTCGAAGTTTAATGTCGCGAACAATTAATTTTTCTATCGTCGACATTTTTAGCGAACTTTGCAAAATACAATTCTTACTGCACTGTATTCTCGTAACACATTACAGTATTGTCAAGATTATACGACAATGCTCCGTTATCATCTTCGTCTGGTAACGAACATTAATCACAGAAGAGCTTACGTGCCCCATTAAAATTACACAAAATTCTTTATATAAACAATGTCTTAATGTTTGTAAATGCAATTGCGTTTAATACGAGTACAGTACAGTCTTATCTATATCAAAATTAATTCCAGTTTGTCTAGAAAATTATTGTTAAATTTCACGAGGTTCTTTTCGCAGCTCAAATTGCCGAAATCAAAGATAAAAGGATTTTTCAGTAGGTATTAGCAATAAAATAAGCTCGGAAAACAAAGAAATTCAGTTTAAATTAACTATTATATTAGTTATTAACATACCGTCTCGTATCTCAAATTAAAGTCTGTAAGAGTATACAAGTAGACTCGGTTTTATATTAACTAAAGGCAATTGTAAAGACGAATATTTTAAGGTTTCATTTTAGTCATTTCATCGCCGAATGTTATACTTTATTAATTAAAGCTAAAGAACCACACGTTCTACAAAACAAAAAAGATTACTCTGTCTTTTCCACAAATTCTAAGTGTTTTTCTTTAAACAAACTTAAAAATTTACGTAAATATTCACTTCGTCTTCCGCGATTCTTCGAGTTATTAATTGTTGTCGCGCCGTATCTGTTCCTATATTTATCAGGAAGTAATTTGCATATCCGTGCACTCCGCGTAATGAGAATCATAAAAATTAATTTTTTCGTTAATACTTTACCGAACGATCTCAAATTTGTTTATATTTATTTATATTATTAATATCGATCATAGATATTTGTATATTTATGATTTCTAATTTATTTTATAAAATAATTACTAATTATGCAAATATGGCGCGTTTATTTATAAATGATTATCCGTAAATAAATACTTTATGGACGGATTTTTCAATATTCGAGATGATACTTTTGGTAAGAATAATTATTCCATAATGAATATCTCGACATTTAATAATTTCTTTTCTAATCAATCCTTATTCTTCCGATTAAAACTTATACCTCATAGAGATGCGTGAAGAATTTTTTAAAAATTAATCGTTAAATCAATTAAAATATATTTTAATTTTGTTGAGATGCGAGAATATATTCCGATGCGCAATGTACCAGAGTAATTTCTATATTCTGGTATAATAACCCGCGAGTGACCACGCAGGACGTTTTCATTTGAATAAATATCTGTTTTGTCGTTATATTGTGTATTTCTAACAACTTTGTTGAAAATTGCAAACGAAACTATTCAATAAACGAATACGTGACAACCGGCAGCGCTTAGAAGATGCAGCTTCCGTCAGTGTATAAGAACGGATGCGCTATCGCTTACGCTAAAACATATAACGCGCCCCGCTTACAAATTTACGCCGGTAAACAATCCGAAAATATCTTTTACTCGCGCGTTGTTACCGAAAGATAATCGTTCCTCTCCCGGCAAATCATCGTCTAGCACTCGTCGGTACGCTAAGGAAACACTAAGAAAATCTTTCCTTTGTATAAATCGTAAGTCGCCCCGTTTACAATAACATCGTTGATTTTTACAAAAAGTGTACTTTGTTGTCGTACGTACTAAAGAGAAATAAGATTGCCCCGTTTCTTTCGACCACTCGCAATAATTACGCAGTCGACGCCGAAAATAGAGAAGCTACGAAACCAGAAACACTCGTTTTACACTACATCCGAATGCGGTATACGCGTAGTGGACGCATAAAATAATACACACCTTTGCGAGAATAAACAACCGTTGGCAGTGGCGTAGCGAGGGGGTGCGAGGGGTGTATCGTGCACCGGGCGCTACTGGCAGAGGGGCGCCCAAATGGTCTCCGAGACAAACTATATGTGTTTCTGGAGGGAGAGGGGGCGCCAATAAAGCGTCGCGCCCCGGGCTCCAGTTACGTTCGCTACTCCACCCACCGTTGGCCACTTCCTATTTTCCCGAACCTGGCAAAGATCAATCGCTACGTTGCGCGGGAAACTTTTGAAAATATTATCTCGCGAACCGTGCCAAGAATTTCTACCGAAAACCAAAACAAAATGTTCCAAATTGATAGGCGGAGAAAACACTGTACCGTCTGGGACAAATTATGCGACCAAAAAAAAAAGAAAAAACAGCCGCGGAAGAAGAAAGTTACCGAAAACTTCCATACTAGTATTTCGTACCTAAGGTAAATTAGTAAAATAATTTGGTGAAAAGTTTTAGATTTTCTCCAAATAATTGTCGAAGAAAGAAACAAACCTTTAAAAAGACGAAAATAGAACGTAAAATGCCCGCGTAATCAAAAACATCTCGCGTTACAAAGGGCGCGCGCCTTATTAATTAATTAATATAATTTTTATCAATATTTACAACATAAAAGTCGATAGAATATCCGCCAATAACTTTTTTAATTACGCCAAATGGAGTACGCGTATTTCCGATAAGGTAGCGATACGAAACATCACTCGGCATTATATTAAATACATTATTTTGTATAGATTAGCAATTTATCACCCAGAAATTAAAAAAAAAAAATATGTTTGTAATTTGTACGCTTCCGAATTATCGATATTCGGGGGATTTTATAGAGTTTCGGGTTTAGAAGAGGGGACGTAAATTTGCAGATTATTCCGTCGTATCGAAAATTTGCAAAACTCATTAAATGTAATAAACTTAACTATTTTACAACTAAAACGAACTTTGTGATAAATAGAAATTGCGGATTTCGTATAACCGATACGAAAATTACATTTATTACGCAATAAAATTAAATATATTGTACGTATAATTAAAAACATTACTGTAAATTTTGATATCTTAGTTAAACATCGTAATTTTTCAAATCTGAAAGGAGATAAGAAAGATAGAGTTAATTGTTTTAGAAGGTTGCGAATGCCCTTTAACTAGCGATAAAAAAGAGTAATATTCCAGTTGATTATAATGTCTTATTTTTCATTCAGATAAAAAGTACCACCTCCTCGTGTTCCAGCCGCAAATAATTCCCGTAAAAAGATGGAAGAATTAGAAAACAGCGTTTCTTTACGCTCCATCAAGCGATTAGCTTCCATATCGGAAGCCGTAGACAAGGAATTGGATAAAAATAGAGCGGTAAGAATTTACGTATAATTTGTTTTAAAATGAGATACTTTCGTGCCATAAAAAATTAGAACTAATCGCGAAAATATTAATGTAGGTCTAATTGATCGAGTGATAGAGTGTAGAGGATTATTTCTAACGAAGGCAGCTGATAAACTTAGATAAAGTTAGCATTGTATAATAAAAATACGCGCGTAAGAAAAGACTTATTAGGGGTAGGATTTACACACGTAGATCGAAGATGTTTCTCCTCCACCAGATCGTAATGGGTAATACTGTATATATTATTTTTGGGGAATGAGCCAAGGTGCTCGTAGCCTCGTACCTCCAGGCCCTAAGCTGTAGCTTGTTTAGCCTAAGTACCGTATCTTCGTCTCCGGATTTTTACAAGCTTTTTGCCAAAATTTATAAATACGTAATTATATTTTAATAAATTTTCAAAATTGAATAAATCGTGAAGGCCGTTATAAACATTATTGAGAGTGATAGAATTCAATGAAAACAAATTATTATATTTTTCGAGATAAAAATGCTCCGAGTATGACGATTATTTTCGTATATTCTGATACCAAATGGTTAAATGAAAAGGAGTTATTTGACAAATGATTTTTAAGTTACGGGATAAAGAAAATGATTTCAAGGGATCGAAGAAAGATAAATTCCTAAATCCATTGTACAGTATTCGCAAGAAATAATTTCTGAGAAATTCCAATAAATTTTAAAAAATACTTTATTAATTTGACTTTCCAACAACTTTCAGAATTACATCGTCACACAAAATATTTCCAAAAATGACCATTTTTGAAAATTTTTAAAAAATTAAATTAAATTAGTGTCGAGTACCGGCAGTTCTACTCTACCCCATTTTACATACTGATAATTATTTTAAAATAATTAAGAAAGGCCTTATTGGCAACGGTATACGCCAGGCCGGATGGCCGAGCTGTTAAGACGACAGCCCACTGCTCTGGGGACTCGGTATCGAAACCAGCAAGGTCGAAAAATCCCCAGGAATTTTTCGAAGGGTGGTCCGTCCCGATATGTCGGGCCTCGCCCCTCTCCACCCGGCCGCACCATTGCGGGCTCGCTAACGGAGGCCCTCCTAGTGCCCGCAGGAAAGAGCCTTAAGGACGAACGGACATTCTGAGGTGGGAACATTTCAAAAATCTTTAACTAATAATACCTCGAAGTTTTAATGATTTTGCTTAACATCGAACAATTCTTATATACAGTAGAGCGTCGATTATCCGAAAGAATTGCAGTCGGCAAATTTAAATTTTCGCCAGTGCTGTGGCGCTGCAATCTCTGGCTATGTCTTGGGCTACTCAAATATTTTACGTTTTTGATACTAAATTAACTTCTGAAGTATAATTTTTTATTGTTTTTATATTTCTCAATACATTTATTTTCCAATTTATAATTAGAAGTTCAGACTATTTACAAAAAATTAATTTTTGAGTCTATCAATTCTTCCTTTTCACACACCATAGAAGTACACCTTTTACATTTGTTTGAAGAATTCACTTCATTAAAAACAATTAACAATAATTGTTAATTGTTTCTAATCAAAAAATTTTTGTCAAAAATTAATTTTTTGTAAATAGTCTGAACTTGTAATTATAAATTGGAAGAAAAATATCCTGAGTTCATCATGCATTTGATACATTTATTTTGTTTGTACAAAATAAAAAAATAATTTTTAACGATACAATAGTCTTCGTTCTCGCAAAGGAAAACCATGCGTAAGCGAGAAGCGAGAAATATCACTAGCGAGAGCGAATTTCTGGTTCTCGCACATATCTGACAGCTTTTGATATTTATCGCGTCTCGCCTCTTCTCGCCACATATTCTCGCTCTCTCGCGTCTGCATAGTCGCACCCTTAGGCTTCTTAACATCGACAAAAATTCCACGCGAAGCGACACGCAACGGAGAAAAATTTCAACACGGCATAGGTTAATATATTTTTTCGTACATAATCGGTTATCCGAATATATCGAAATTTTTTCGAACAACCCCAGTCCCCAATTGATTCGGATAATCGACGCTCTACTGTATTTGGAATTAATTTTTTGAGTAATTTTATGAATAAGATAATCTTTTTATAAATTCATCAATTACTTCCACGGTTATTTTCTAAACATTATTCATTCGATTATTTTTTGTTGTGACTTATCCGCATAAAAACAGCGGTATAACTATTTTCCAATTATACAGCTGTTTTTATGCGGATAAGTAACAACAAAAAATAATCGAATGAATAATGTTTAGAAAATAACCGTGGAAGTTTAAATTTTCTCACTAGATTCGATGATTTAATGTCACAGTTTTCAATACGACTTTCACGATTCGAGATTCCTCCGTATCTAACGTCGGATGCCGGCGTGTCACACCCGCAAAATAAGCCGCGCAGGATATTAACATTAAAAGATGTTTTCGGATAACTTATTTAATCTATAACAAATAAATCAAGCGACTTTTTTAAAACGAAAATCCTGCGTAGTAATTCCTGAATATACTCGGCACGAACTCGAACCAGTTAGGATATAACAATGGACAAGCAAATAAATATATACATATATAGAATTGTGACGTATTATCTCAACTATTATCTACGCAAATCTCTCCTTTGTATAAAGCGAAGCGACTTAAGGCCTCGCGCTACGATGCCTTAAGCCGCGATTTGGCCCCTCTCGAGTAGTTTTATTCTATAAAAATTCTAAAAAATTCTCACTTCTCGTTGTAAGCGGAATAAAATGAATCGAATGCCTCTTTTTATATTTAAATGTTCCGAAATTATAACATTTCTTACCGATTAAGTCTACATTTCTTCTAATTGCCGCCTGGTAACTCGTAAAATTTAAATAAGTAACGGAGGATGAAAATCTAATCTGTAAACTTAATTATAATACACCGAAAAAGTGCTAATAAGTTAAGTAAGTTGAAATATTATAAATTCGTTATTTAAGTGAAAACTCGGAATATGAAAAGAAACTCTATAAAAAAAAATCCAGTAACGAGTTGATTAACTTTCCCGGCCGCATTCCAAACTGCGCGTGCCGCCATCTGTTACGATATTTTATCGAAAAACTTCTTATATTAATCGTTATTCTTATATTAATCGTGGCTAAAAGCTTAATTTTGAGGCTAGGAATAAATTTTATAAACAAAAATTGTAAATGCTAATAACGAGTAAAATTATTAAGTTCAACCCCACTCGAGATACGACGCGCGACCCCTTTATCTTCCCGCTCTCTCCACCTTTAATCACCAAAATTTAACGACATCGACCCCCCTAATAAACAAACCTCCGGGCAAAATTTCGGACATTTTCGACCAAAAGCGCGGGAGTTATTAAGTTTCAAAATGGGTGAACGAAATCTCGCCCCCTATACACACACACACACACACACGCTAACATCCCGAATTTCTCGACGTTCGAAAGTCCCCCGGAGTCGAAAAATGTGAAAATCTGCGGGGCGAGTTTTCGATCGACGGCCAAAAACGGAACGAATTTAACTTGGTAAGCAAAACCCGAAATTTTGAATTTTAATTTTCATTATAAAATATTTAATTAAAAAAATAACTTTAGAATTAATTATTCATTATTAACGTAATTTCTAAATTTTAAATATAAAAATAGCAACGATACGATTATTATTTTTATATTTAAAGTTAATTATAATTGATGGGCGCGTTTTCGATTACGAATGTTTACGTAATTGACGAATTTGAATATTCTTCACTTAGACATTGAGTGGAAAACCGTTACGATTGCGGCGAAATTAGCAAATAAAACTTTTGAAATGTTTTTTAACATAAAATATATACATATAGAGTAAAATCATTTGTTGTACAATTTTTTATTGCAACATATAGGTCATTGTTACTCCATCCAGGCTTTTAAATAAGAGCAATAATTGTTACGCAATATTAATTACGGTATACTTTACCCAAGTTTTCTATCGATAATTAATTAAAATTTTTAATAATTTCGTTGGAGAATCCCGTAGACGCTGGTCGTACGAGAATATTAACGTAATATTTTTTGATGGTTTCGGGTATATTTTATGTGGTAAAATTATAAAGAATTTTATGACTTTTTCTTTTAAAGGAATATATTTTATAATTATAACTATAATAAATTCTAAGGACCGTTAGAGGATCGAATGGAATAATAAACGTCGAGACGTTAAATTTAACGAATTTACGCGGCCGAAATTGGTCGTTGCCACACTTTATTGGCAATTACGTGTCCCGAATTTAATTGTAAATTAGAAAATTTACGAAAAAGTTCGCTTATCGGATTTGTATAAAGGAAACGCGCTTAACAATAGTTTTCGCTACTATAAAAGTTAAAAATATATTTTAATTCGTATATTTTCCACATGGTAAAATATTCTATACAAGTTGATAAACTATATTTAATAATAAATGATTCCTGTGGATGTCGAAATCTGTTCTATTTTCTTTATCCTTTTTTAAACATTTGAACTAAAAATTTTTAAGCCATACTCGAATAATAAAATTAGGCGTTTTGGGCATTTTAAACCAATTTCTTTTTTAAATCTTAAAGAGCTTTTCGGCAGAGAATGCCATTCCCCGCATCTTCTCTCATCTTCAGAATTGCTATTAACGGTCAAATTTTAATGTTTTTATACCATATGATTTATATTTTATAAGCATTTTCATTTATTTAAACTAAAAATCCAGGGTTTAATTTAGAAAAGACTCGTGGATCGTAATATCCAATTCGTACTTGGAGCATCCGACCGTTTGATTAATTTTGACACCAAAACCTTCGATTACAACGCGCTTCGAAGGTGTTCTTTAAATGCGTGGCGGCATTACGTCTAAAATTTAGATTCGATTCCCGTAATTCGATGGTTAAAGTGTTAATTATAAAAATAAAAATAGCAATGAGCGAAAATTAAGGTAAGGTCAATTAATATTAATTTTTAATTATAGTTAACTAGTAGTTGTATAATTCGATTTAAATCTGACCGATTTCAATTTTACAGCTACATTTTGAATACGTCGCTAGATTATTATCTAATTCAACATTTCATCGGAGACCGAATGTCTTTTAACCTTTTATCAAAGCGTTTATCGTTGTCCGCTACACTTTTTTTCGCAGTTACAATAAGCAAAATTGCACCAGTGAGGAGGTGAAATTGTTTATCGTGTCATCGATAGCATCCGGGATCGTACCACACCCGACTGAATTTTCCAAATTGTTTGTCTTTTTCTCCCTCACCCCTCCTAATGCTATTTTCCCCTCTTCTTTTCCCTCTCGAGTACTCTTCCTCCTTTAATATTACTTAGACGGGGTTAATACCGAAAAAACTTTAAATTAACTTTAAAAAATACGATTTTTATCATAATTTTTCATCTTTACTGTTAAATAAATATTTGTAAAGCCTAAAAATATATTTATTCTTATATAAAAACAAACTGAAGTCATCTGTTAATTTAAGTATAAAACTTAATTACTTTTCCTTATTATTTATTAATAAAAAATTAATAAGGAAATTAATAATAATAATAATAATTATTTAAATTAGCATTTTTTAAAAATTCTTAAATATATTTTTACGCGCAAAAGTTATTTTAAATGTATTATTATTATTATTATTTAATTACAATTTTAAAAAATAAATTCATAAAACATATAAATAATATGATTAAATAAAATATAGCAGGATATTAACAT